TGACTATCATCAAATGTATATAGATGTTTAAGCCGATGTTTTTAGAGTTCGTGAGACGAATTTATGCTTATTGCAAAACTAATAACAAAATTTAGCATATTTTGCATTAGAGAGTTCAAGTTTACACACACACATATGAATTCATGATTAAGTCAGTAACAAATCGGAGTAAATATAATCATGTTTGAGAAGTAATAATGTTTACCATCATAGCATTCCAGTCTTATATAAAGAATCCATGTATACTCTCTCGTGCTCTACGCTAGCCCTTAAACAATTCGCTTATCGTGACGTATAGTTGCGAGGTTCAAAGTGATACTTACGTCTTTTAGCGAAACGCACGCTGTTTTGCTGATTAAATTGTAGATATATATATACATATATATATTATATATATATGAATGCAAAAAAGTAATAGTAGTCGAGAGTATAGAGGAGGTGATGGCAAATTGAGAAAGCATAGTACGGCAGATGCCAAGGTTTTGTAGTCGATCTTTAAGCAACGGAGGATCAGGGATTCATTCAGAATAATATTATATATATATATATATATATATATATATATATATTTATATATATAAATGTATAGCAGCACGTAAATATGGGCTATTTTGGAAAGAACTAAGTAACTATTTAAGGATTTTTTTTTAGATAAATCAGAAGATCTTAAGTTTTTTTGATTAAATCTCGTGTATTCTTAAGTAAGTCAAGTGGTAGCAGTGCGTAGGTAATAATATATGCTTACAATTTTAGGTTAATGATATTCTTGCACAGAAACACTTATACTCGACGCGACTTACACTAAGGGTTTTTTTTAACTTTGTGGAAATTGTCCAATACTTAGAAGGTCATGAGGTAGGCCCGCCTTTTAATATACTGATTAATTCAAAAACATTTTCTAACTCCATTCAATTATGTCTGTCTGCTTGCTTATGTACTTTTGTTGAAACTGTAAACTTCCATTCCAAGTCCTATTCAAATTGGATTGGTTCGCCCAATTTTCAGAATCCATCTTTTGCCCTACAAGTAGCATATTTTTATTACAAAAAAACGAATATTTTTTGATAAACATCATTAAAAAATACCATTTTGATATATTAAAGGATTGCGCGGAAATTTGGATGAGATTGGACAATCTCTTGGGCCAATTTGTTGCAAAGAACAACACAAAGAACAAGTTCTAGTTTGTAGCGAATTGAGAGGTGAATTTCTTTGTTGTATTAAATTTGGATCGTATATAGTCTTTCTCTATCTATCTCTCTATAAGACAACAAAGTCGAACTTTTGATATTTTATGTTGAAAATGTGTGATGAAGTTTCTTGGCAAGAAAATTAAATGATGATGAAAATCTTGTCCCCTCGTCGATTATTTTTTCATGAAATATGCATGAATGCTTAACATGACAAGAGTCGCTAATTTGTGTAGCGAAGTGTTGTAGGGTATTTAAAATCAGTGGAGCTTGGCTTGATTTGGAATGAGGACATATACTGGAGATCGAAAGTAAAGTAATCTAAACAACATCTTAAGATCATCCCACTTTTATGCTTGCAAGAACCCATGGTGGTGGGCAAAAAAGCGATATTTTTTGAAGTGTGCATGTGTGTCTTTCGAATTGAATCGAAAGTATTTTACTGCTATTACTGATCGTTTAAAGCAAGAGCGGCGAGACTCAATGTGGAGCCTTGAAAAGAAAGTTTTTTTTTTTTATCCCTCTAAACTCTTTTCTTCTAAATTATCGAGAATTAGTTTTAGGTTTCATTTTATCCTATCCAAAGTAGTTCGGGTTCGTTTTATTTATGTCTCCTCCACTATGTAATCACTATTAAAAGTTTATAAATATTTCTCAGATAAAAGTAAACAAGTATTGCTGACTGACGATAAGCTTTCCGAAAAAATATATAAAGTGTATATAATACATGCATATATATGCAAAAAAAAAGAAAAAAAAAAACCTGAACTAGAAAACAACATTTTCTCATGGAAATGCAATTTTAAACATATTACCATCCTTTGATGTAGGTTTAAAAAACTATATATGTACATATACATATATATATATATATATATATATATATGTGCATATATATATATATATGAAACGCAAATGCAACTCAGCGTGAAAAACTATTCTTAGGATGAAATATAAAAAAATATATTTTCTTTGTAGTTGTGCTGTTATCTACATACACATTTACAAACGTATATGCACGCAGTAAAAAAAAAAAAAAAAGTTGGGATTTTTGACTCTGACATCGTTGTCTACTTGAGGGGACTAAATTCAATTGTAACTTTGACTCAATTGATGATGCTCTGATGATAGCGTTTATATTATGCGTACATTTATTTATTTATGGGATACATTTTTATACATCATATAATATACATTATGTATATATATATATATGCATATGTATTTGTCTGTATAGTTTATAAATAGAAGAAAGAGACTAAATTGACATACAATACCTACATATGTAATGTAACAGAGGCTGATCGAAGTTATCTGAGGGCCTAAAACATTCGGTTTTTTGGACTCCGTTTTTATATAATGCAAGTAAAGATAAAGCTTCCCCCCATCATGTAGAGTAAGTACATTAAGATAATGTAACAATTCATGATTTTTAAAACATTATTATGGGAAATGTTTTCCAAAAAAATTCTTATTTTAAATAATTTTGTAAAAATTAACAAAAAAAAAACTTTTCACAGATTTCGCTAAAAACAATTTAATGAAAAACGGTTTCGCTGTACGTTTTATAAGAAGAGGGAGGATAGTGATTATTGAAAATCTTATGAACATTATTTCCTTATAGGACACGAAGTATAGGACATTTCCATAGCAGGTTGTGTGTGTAACCCAAATCCATGGCTTCAATTTCAAATCAAAAAAGTCAGTCAACATCGATCGATAACGTGATAGCGGAATCAATTGCATTGCCAATGTCAAGGAGTCACTTGTTATAGTAGTTAATCCTCTGCCCCAGATGTGATAAATTTGTTTGTTTATGTACCCAGGCGGATCATCCGATATAATTTGATTTAATTAGCTAATGTGGTTCGATGATATCGGAAAAAATCTGCTACTTTTGACTTACCTGTATTGGTAGTTCAAAAAATGGCTCGAGTTTAAATCAATTCCTTCCGCTAAAGTTGTTTGCTTCATAACATGCCTCTGACGCTTCAGCTTTTCCGAAAATTGCAGGCATAGATAACGTAGTTAACTTAACTTTGGACGACGTAAACTTCGGTTGCTTGGAACCTGATGCTTTTCGTATTTATCAAAGTTTAAAGAAATAAATTTCATTTACGGGATATGAGTTTTTCCTCTGTTTTTAATGGGATTAAACCGGCAAAGGATACAGCTAAGGGTGCGGAAACGATTAAGTAAGTTTGAAATGAATGAATGCAGTACGTTACGAAACAGTTAAAAAAGTGGTTTACAACATTTCGGTCACTAAGAACGATCAGATTCCCATATGCCCTTTCATCTCCTACAAAGGCAAACAAGAGAATAATTTCCAATTTAGGCTGGGAAAGCTTATCCCCGTTTATTTTCCAGACTTGACCATTTCCGATTACTATTCATCTATTCATCGCTGCAGGTCTGATGAATACATTAGCTGTTCATTGAAGTTGAAGATGTTCGAAAATAGATCAAAGACTATTTCACCTTGGAATCACGTTAATCTCTACCCACGTAAGGGGCATCGAGAAGCTATCCGATGAATGACAAAAGACCATAGATAATGATGACGTCTATTTCGATTATTAAGCTTGCTAAGAAGCATTTTATTAAAAGCCGGAATGAATTTTGATTCCACACCTAATAAAATGACAACATTTTCTGAAAAATTCTTGTGATCTTTAGATTTGTAGTAAGGCAATTTTACGTTTTATATATATAGACATATATATATATATAGACATATAATGAACTAAGTGAGGTTTTCCATTAGTTTTTCTTCTATTCGCCTTGAAACTAAGAAGACTTTCCTATGACACAGACCTCTAATTTGACAAACATATATGATTTTTTTTGATCTTGAATGGCGTGTCGAAATTTCAACACAACCACATATAGCATTCATATTCTACATATTCTAGTTATTAAATGAGTTTTATTGGCATCACTTCGTCGCCTTTTCAAAATTATCTGTCATTAGTTGTAATTTGGTCGCGGTTGGTCATTAGTAGATATTCGTAACAATCTCTCTTTGTAGACGAACTCTCCTAAATATCTTGATCAACGCGAGATTTTCAGTCGCCACATCCGTTCTTCTGGCGGTCTCTATGAGTTTTTATTACTTTAGCATTTGTTTATGTTTGAAATCAAGTTGAAAATAGGCAAGGATGGCCCGTGAAGACTTAATAAAACAGAAAGTCGACATTGGACAAACTATTTTTCTGAACGATATTAAGTTGACTACGTAGATATTTGTAATTGGGTGACTTAGGCGCTCGCTAATGGGCAAGACTTTAATTTGATTCGCATATCCGTCTCCTTTACTCTGTGAATATCTAAAGCTAATCCAGCTTTTATCCATTTTTCTATTTTCCCAAACTTCCGGTTGATCGATGGATAATTTTACTACAAAAAAAAAAAAAATAAAAAAAATAAATAAAAAGTAATATTAGAGGCCCGTTGGCGGGCATATGGTATTGTTGTGTCAGCTAATGGGCTACTGAACTACAGCACATCAGTGTGATTGGTGTGCGTGCATATGTTACTTACAATAATGTTGAAAAATTGTGCTAACAATGTTGTCATTTATGATAATGAAGGTCAAACAGTCAAATGAATGTTTCACAAATATCACAATTATTAATTCAATAAACAAATAAGTATTATCTGCAACCGTTTGTTATTTCATTGTAAAATTCTTTTTAATTTTATTTAATTTATTTAAGAAATAATGTAAGAAAAACTTAACAAAAAAATATTATTTTCTTTCTTTCTTTCTTTCTTTCTTTCTATCTTTCTTTCTTTCTTCCCATTTAGACCAAAAACATTTTCATCAAAGAAGAACCGATTGACGGTAATAAAGATTTACCGCCACCCATATGCAGTTTATCGGATATATCAGATCATGAAGCATCGCTGGGTGAGTCCAATTTTATATTTACACATATATATTTCTCGATTTAAGGCCAACGGATGTTAATTGCAATTAAAATATCTTTTAAAAAATTATTGCTTAAGATTATGCAACAAAGTCTTTCAAGTCTTCTCGTTGCACTTTCACTTCACATGATTTTATAAACCATTCTCAGGATAGAATTGATTGTTCTTCTTTCAATGCATTATTGATTGGGTCTTGAAGGGGCAAAAAGCAACAAGTATTAAATTATATTTTGTGAATTCAGTTCATTAACATTTATAATTAAAACTGAAACAACAAATCGACTACAAATTACAATAAATGCAATAATATCACGAACAAAATAAAAAAATAAAAAAAAAAAAAAAAAAAACAGCAAAAGAAAAATTATAAAAAAAAATTACCATCTGTGAATAAATAATTGATTGACACTTGGTCGAAGTGAAACGAACACACCTTCTGCATGCACTTACATATGTAAGTAATATTGGCATACGTATGGACATGCATGCTATAAACGAAGTAGTCTAACACAATGAAAACCCTTTGTATCAAAAGCGACAAAAAAAAAACATAGACGATAAAAATACGAAGTCCAACCATTTGTTTTCACCCGACTATGCATCTGTCCAATTATGCGTCCATCCATCTTCTGTTCATCAAGAAGCGTGTCCCCGTTCGCCCCTGTGTGTACGTCTGCCAGCTTGGGTGTCTTCACCACTTATACTCCCGTACTGCTATTCTTTTACTCTCTATGCGTCTCTTCCTTTTCACTCGAGTCCATCTGTCCAATTGTGCGTCCGTCCAACTTTGCCTCCATCCATCTTCTGTTCATCAAGAAGCGTGTCCGTTCGCCCCTGTGTACGTCTGCCAGCTTGGGTGTCTTCACCACTTATACTTCCGTACTGCTATTCTTTTACTCTCTATGCGTCTACTCCTTTTCACTCGAGTTCTCCCCCAGCGGAGGAGATCTGCCAACGGCTTGTTTCCTTTTACCTTTGATTAAGAGAAACCTAGAGCTTTGTTGCTCGCATATAATCTGCAAGCCGTTCAATAACCGAGTTCGAAGTGGGCAGAGAAGGGGGGTTCCTTTTTTTTTCTCTTTAAACAATGGTATTTTAATCAATCCTTAGTTACATAATTCTACTTAATTAAGGGCCCCATCGCCATTTGCTGATGCATATATGCTCGCTTCAAATAAAGAGCCATAGTTGACACTTCATCTACATCTAGCTAAGAAAAGTTTTTCGAACGTCGGTCCGTCCATCACTTTTTATCAAACACGTTATCCCTGTCGTCATGTATATATATTCTTAGTTAAAATGAAAAGGCACAGCATAAAAATTGAGATCATTTTCCCTCAAATCGCAGACAAAAGAGAAAGAGACGTAAATTGATTTGAAAAGAAAAAAAAATTTTATTATTCCTGTGACTTTTTGATCACCATACTTCTGCAGTATATGCAAAGGGAGTAACAAAATTAATATACCTATCCGAGCTTCGATAGTGCATTAAAACAAAAAAAAAAAAAAAAAAACCAAAAGACAATAAATTAAGAATATTAATAATTATAGTAATAATGAAAAATGCTTACGCTTTGAAGAGCCAATACACTTACTTGGACTTGGATCATTACACTACTACTACTGCTGCTGTTGCTGCTACTACTACTACTACTATTACTGCTACTACTACTACTACTACTACTATGCGTTATTAGAAGTAAATGCATGCAATGTATGTAAAAAAAAAGCGCGTACCATCTGCAATTCAATCATTTATTTATGTATGCAATGCATTCACTATTTTCAGCATAAAAAATTAAATAAAATAAAAAAAAATAAATAAAAAAAAAAACAAGTAAAGTAAATGACAAATGGTCTGTTTTGATGAAAGCATATAAGAAGAAAAGAATAATAAATAATATTTACAACAACTACAATAATCAACAACTATTTGCGACAATATGTGCAAAAGTTATCTGCATAAGGGTTTAGTTATTAGTTATGCGTCATGTTATGCTTATTGCACATTAAAGCAAAAGTTTGAGGTGAAGTTGAAGTTTCGTTAAAAAAAAGACACACAAAACATTGATATTCTTTTCTTTTCTTTTTTTTTTCTTACCCATCTCACAAGAAATATATATTAAAAATTCATCAAATGGAAAAATGCCTGAACGGAGTTGCACGATTTTAATCGCTGTTATTAGGAGAAATCGGTTTAGATGCTTTCGGTCATTTCTTGAAATCACATTAGAAATCATTTCGCTCACTTATCTATTCTTTTTTAGCTTAAGCTGGAAAGTTCCTAAATCGTTTCGGACATCGGTTCAATAATTTTCATTTTCTTTCTTTTCTATGCTTGGTTTCAAAATTCTCGAATTTTGACAAACTTGAAAAGATAGGACTTTTGAGCTGAGGCTTAGGTGAAAAATCGATCATAATCTATATAATCTATATAAGCAATATATGTCGAATGTGTAGTAAATCTTCATCAGCAACATGCCAATAGGCCAATGCGGGTGTCTTAAAAGATTCGACTTAAGCTAAATAAAAAAAAAAAATTTTTTTTTCTTTCTTTTTTTTAATTCTATTTTTATTATGCAAATGTTTTATATATGTATGCAGACATATAAACGCACTTTAACAACGATTTGATATTACATTTTGATTTAAAGTTCATACGGTTGGGCGGTCGAATGTTCATTCATTCATTTATTCATTCGCTCATTCATTCATTTCATTTATTTGTTAGTCGTCAATCCATCCATTCAAGCATACGTTCCATTCTATTCATAACTTTTGAACGCCGGAAATAAACGACGTGACTTTTTTGATGAAAAAAATAATATATATATGTATATATATGTATGCATATATATGAACCACAACGAATACAACATTCAAGAGAAAATCAACAACAAAAATCTTAAGAAATCTATTTATTAAAATTTTTATATATATATATATATATATACGTAAATAATTAAGAATCACATTCATTCATATTTAATATAATTTATATAAAAATGTATTTTGGGGAAAAATAATGTTTTTTTTTTTGTTTTCCTTTTTTTTCTTTCTTCTTTAAATATTCACACAGTGAAGCTTATTTCAAACAGACAGGATAGTGTGTACGATCACAATTTATCGTAAACTTGTGTTAGGCTATAAGTAATTATTATTATATAATTAAAGAATTCTGAGGAATGTAAAAATTGCAAAAAAAAAAAAAAAAACGTTCGTTTATTGGACATATCATGGTACATATATATAATGTTTTATAACAACAACACTTTATAAGCAAAATATTATAAACTTATATATCGTATAATGCTTGAATGAATGTATTTATACCTCATTAAAATTGTCATCTATGTATGAACGATGATCATCTGCCGTAGGAAATGAAAAGGTGAACATACATAAATAGAAAGATACAGAAGTTAAACGAAAAGCAAGCAAGAATAGTATCTTAAAGCGATTCTTGGATACCTATCTGCCTTCAAAAAAAAGTCGAAATCCGTTTACCGACCTTTTCTCTTATTAAAATTTTAGATCTAATATTTAGAAGATCGATCGTTAGCATGATTTTTGTATAACTGAATTTGTATTTGACTTTAGGAAAACTAAAAAAAAAAAAAATTGAAGAAAATTTCACATCCAATTTTCTCATCTGAATAACCGGCAGCATATGGTCACTTTAAAACTTAATTTATCGAATTTAGTTCCTAAGCAAAAATCTGATCGTAGCTCTTTCTATACCTAAAATTTCATTCCTGCAAACGAAGAAAGTTAAATCGACTGAAAATTGTTTTTTTTTTTTTTGTCTATTACACGTCTGCAACATGTTACAAATGTCTTAAGAAAAGTAGTATACCTTAAGTCCTGGTCTATAAATATTTATAATAACAAAGAGAACACATTTTGAACTTGAACCTTCTGTGAACATAATTTCAATGTAAATAATAAACGACACGTACACATGCGTACATATGTATCCATGTATGTACTTACGTGTGAGTATATATGGATAAAAATGCGTGGATTTTTAAGAATGTTTTTTTTTTTTTTTTTTTTTTTTTTTTTGCAATGCTTTTGATCAAGTCCCAATGAGTCCCAATGATCGAGCGAAAGTAAACTTATTGTCTATAAAATTATTTTGAAATGAACGGATGATTCAAAAAGTACACTTTACCTTAATGTTACATTAACTTTTCCAAAAAAAACTTGTAAGCCAATCTCTACGATTCATAGAGCTTTGCAAAATCAATTCATTTATCCCATCATTAGTCAGGAATTTGTATTCGTTCGTCTTTACTTTTCAAAACTTATCGAGAAAAAAAACAGCTGTCACTAAATTCAAGGAAATGTCAAATTTGAAAAGCAAAGGATGATAGAGACACAGGTAGGGATAGAGGTAGTGGAAGGGACGGTAGAGGCCAAGGTGTAGGTAGTGGAGATAAATGTGGAGGTAGAAGTAGAACTAAAAGCAATGGTAAGGTGGATGTGAGAGCACCGATAACAGATATGGGTGCAAATAGGAAGACAGGTTAAGATCGAGAAAGAGGCAGATATAGGGAGAGTTGAAGATTGAGATACAGAGAGACATGAGGATTGAGATAGAGACAGAGCTAGAGAAGAGAAATAGAAAACAAAACGACTTAGATAGACAAACAAGTATAGGTTATAAGGAAGGAGATAACCACACAAGAAGAGGCCGGGATAAAAATGACCTTCTACTTTCGTTTTGTAACATTCTTTTCGCAAAAAAATTTCGAGCGAAAATATTATGTTCTTATTAAGCAGAAAAATTAAAAGTTCTCGTAGCTCTTCAGGTTAGACACTTCGATAGATCAGATAAATCTTTTTCTCATTGCGGCTGTAAATTTTTGAGCCAAGAAAATATGATTTTCTTCTCCTTGGTTGCATTCAAGCGTTATTCCTAAATGAGCATCGATATCGCAGATGTCTGTTGTTCTTATAATGAGAGATATTATAACA